TTCGCATCCCCGCCACAGTCTGTCATGGCAATCTATATCTACGCGCTTTCCGAGCCGCTGCCGGTGGTTCTACTCGATAGTCCTTCAGCTCTGTTACTGTAACCTTTCGATTCGTCCTTATGTTGCTGGAGCGCTTCAAAAGCTCCGACTGTCTCAAAAGCGGAAGGGGTGATTGCGTAAAAACGTCTGCAGGAGAGGAACAAACTGTCGAATGCGGATAGAAAACGGATGCTAGTTTATAAGAATGTAATATCACTCAAGCCGCAGTGGACCACAGATTATTATATTTGACTGTCCGGTTGACGGCCAGCAGCAGCATCAGCGGTGGGCGGGGCTTAAAGGCAAGCACCTGCGCTCAGAGGAAGTTGGACGAGAACAATCTTAACGATGCATATACCGTAATCTGTCACGTTTAAGACCTTATTTTAAACAGTCCTTGACGAAAACAACTAATATTTACGATATTATGTTGACTTTGAGAGTTTAACCTCGAGAAAATGCATTTAAAATTTGTATATAACTACCTATCCGAGTTGAATATGTTTTGAGAAATGTATTCCTCTTCAAACTTACTCAGAATGATAACGGAAAACAAATACGAATAGAATGACCTGCATATTATGGGATTTAACTTGACAAAAAAAACTAATTTACTCGACCCTCATGTTTTTTCGAGACTTACTTTCTTCTGTGGGACACAAAAGGTTGCATCTTTCCTTTACTATGAAAGCAAACGGTGAGTGCAGGGAACATCTCTTTTTGTAATCCACTAAAGAAAGTCATACAAATCTGAAAGAGCACAAAGATTAGTAAATGATGATTAGCTTTGTCATTTGTGTGTAAAATATCCCTTTAAATCCCGTATTATGCAGTCTTCTGGTTGCAATTTGCATTTAAGGGAGAACTGTCGCTTTAAAACTTAACCGTTTGCCCCTCCTTTTCCAAGATAGTATTCCTCTTACCTAAGCTGATATGTAACTCTCGTTTATTTGTTGAAAAAATTTTTATTTCTCAGCAATGTTTATATATATATATATATATATATATATATATATATA